GGGGGGGGGGGGGGGGGGTCAGGGGTCAGGGCTGAGGGTGGGATGAGACAGCTGGGGCAGAGGACCTAACCCAGGAAAGCAAGTGAAAACCAGCCCAGCGGGCTAGGAGGCAGTCTCACCTGCTTCCAGTTGGGCTGCTGCTGCTCCTTCTCAAAGCGCTTGTATTCTCGGCGGTCATAGATTTCCACGGAGAGCCGATAAGCCAGGACCAGCCCCAGTCCCACTGCCACAATGCCCCCCACACAGCCTAGCACAATGGCCTGGGTGTGGTCTGCTCCCTCTATGGGGGTGAAACAAAGACTTCTGGGCAGGTGGGACACAGATTGAGCAACAGTTGCCCAGTGTGTGTGCAGCCCCATCCAACCTCCCCGGCCGTCCCTGTCATTGAAAACAAAGGGAACTCAGCGGGTTTGTGTTCAGTGCCCAGTTTTTTAGCCTCCACTTGATCCATTACCGCCACTTTTGCCTGGATTCTCAGCTCTGCTTCAATCCCTAGTCTGGTTCCTCTGTCTTTACCTCCCCAACCTGAGTTCTGAGGCCCCGCCCATCAACCTTCATGGCTCCATTTGGCATGTCCAAGGCATCCCTGTCCACTTACTCTCTTGGGGTCTTACTCTCAGCATGACCCTGCCTCCGGCTTCCTCCTCCACCAGGAAGAAGAACAGCTGGTTGTCCAGGGTCCTCTCTTTGCACCAGCCGTCATCCAGCATAGGGGCCACAGCCAGAGTCACGTTGGTATGGGCACAAGCCGTGCTGCAATTGGTGGCCAGGACACCAGTCCCAAAGGCCCCACACTCGGCACAATCCCTGTCCAATAGACGCCAGTAAGTTACTGACTGGCAGTTGTCACCCACACCACATGGAGGAAAGCAGGCAGGGGCCCCAAGTGCCAGGCCTGAGGCCTCACCTGTGTGTCTCGCATGGTGTCTTGCAGCCTGGGCACTGATCACATAGGGCACCGTAGTAGCCGTCCAAGCACTGGCAGCGGTTGCACTTGCAATGTCCATGCCCACTGCAGAGCCTTCCCTCAGGACCGACGCAGCCATCCACGTCCCCACTGCACTCACATGCTCTGCCCGTGCGGTTGGCGTGACAGTGACACACGCCACATTGGCAGAGTCCAAAGCCTGGAGCAGAGTCACGCACAGGGTGACAAACATGTTCCACACACGCAGTGGACATCACAGCCTAGAGCTGACCTGTTCCCGTGCATCCGGTCCCCTCTCAATATGCCACATGTGTGCCCCAGCTCCTACACCAGAATCTCTGTACTTGCCCTTAGGTCCCAGAGCCTAAATACCCTTCAGAGCCACTCTGAACCCTCCCTTCTCCCACAGGCCCCCAGGTACCTCCACAGAGGATGCCCTCGTGTCGCTCACAGCTGGCATCGTCACACTCGCACAGGCGCCCAGAGCTCTGTCCGCTGCAGCTGCAGCGTCCACACTGGCATCGTCCCTTCCCGCTGCACAGGGGCCCTGTCCCATTGGGGCCCCGGCACCCAGATTCCAGATCTGGGGAGGACAGCTCAGACTCAGAGCACTCACAGAGTCGACCCAGGCGGCCTGGGTCACAGCTGGGAGGGGAAAGAAAGGGAGAGAGAGGTGGGTCCGAAAGTTTGGTCATTCCTTTACCTGTCTTTCCCAGGATACTCTAAACCCAAGGTCTCCCAAGAGTTTAGATGGTGGCTGAAGGGATGTGGAATATAGTAAAGTACCAAGGAGTGGAGGAGCAGAGTGAGTCCTGGTGGAGGGGAGGGTCTCAGCATTCTGGGAAGCTTCAGGAGATAAAAATCAGGGTGCAGTGTAGGGATGTGTAGGAAAAACTTGTCTAGAGATGCCAGTGGAAGAATAGAAGGCAAGGGAGGAGAAATACAGGGGCTGTATTTGTGGGGGGCTACATAGGTGGCGGGAAGCTAGCGGCCCTCACCTGCACATCCCGCATTGTAGGTGCCCGTGGTCACTGCAGTGGGGCGCTGGGAGCTGGGTGTCATTGCAGTTGCAATCGCACAGTGTGTGCAACTCCACAGTCAGCTCCTCTGAGAAGCCAAGAGCTCGGAACTTCAGAAAATGGGGCCCTGGGAGGCAGCGGGTAGCTTGGAAAGTAACCAAAAAATTCACCTGAGGGCAGAATGGGCAGAAATCAGACTAAACTCATACATGCACCCCTGTGCACAGGGGCACACACCCCAAACCTATGGATCATCCAGAACCCTACTCCTTAGTAAATTAAGGGGCAGTCAATGCTAACACCCGTCTCCTAGCAACATGCTTGAAGCTAATCATTAAACCCCTTCAGAAAGGGTGGATGGAGAACTTCCTCAAGTTCTTGCATTGTTCTCTGTGCCTGCCCCCATCTTTTCCTTCCTGCCTCAATTTCCCACTCCCACCCCCACTTCCTTCATTCTGCCTATTTTTTTTAAATTGATTTTAGAGAAACATTGGTTTGTTCCACTTATTTATGCATTCATTGGTTGATTCTTGTATGAGCCCTGACCAAGGATAGAACCTGCAACCTTGGCATATTGGGGACGATGCTCTAACCAACTGAGCTACCTGGCCAGGGCCCCTTCTGCCTATTGCAACTGGCTCTCACCGTCTGGTTGATTCGGACATGGTTGCACTGGCCCCGGTCCCCAGGCTCACCAGCCCTCTTCTCAGGACCCCCACACTGAGATTCATAAGAGATGTGGACCCCCGGAGGGAGTGGAGAGTGTTCGAGGGTCACAGTGGATGACAGACTCTGTGGGAAGAGAATGAGTGACCACATGAAGGTGGACTCTGACCCCACCTCATGCCCTCTCCAGCCATTCCAGATTCTGCCAGAACCCTGCCCTCAGCCCACCTCAAGGCTCTGCCTAGTCTGGAGGCATCTCTGGAGGAGGGACCTGCGAGAACCTCGAGGGGAGTACAGGGAGATCCAGGGCCTCTACTAGCACGTCAGTGCAGCTGCAGCCAGGGAGCCAGGGCTTGCTAGGGCTCAGGGGCTGGCCAGGCACCGTAAACATGCAGCAGCTGTGTTCTCAAATCCCAAATCAGGACATATAACCTGTGTACATACAAGGTCTAAAGGGCAATTCTCTCAGACTTCGTCCCGGAAAATTTGATACCGGCACAGGTTTTCTCACTGTGGTTTTAGGAAATGGTTCCTGTCATCAAGAAGCCTACAGTCTAGTTACAAAGATAAGACCTAAACCAAGAAACACTTAAGAATTTTTATGGTTCCTCCTACCTGTAAAACTATGTTTCCTGTGAAGAATATCTGGATTGTTTATAAGCTTAATGAAAGCAGGTTCTGGATATTATATCATTTATGTACAGACTGACTAGAGGACAAATCCAGCCCTTCTCTCTTTTATCTGAGTGACCTTGGGTGAGTCACTGAGCCTCCTGTGTCTGTACCCCCATCTATAAAATAGGGATGGTAATAGTTACCCAGCAGCAGGTTTTGTGAGGTTAAATGGGAAAGCAATCGAAGTATGTGTACTTGGCATGTAATAAAAGCTCAATGAATATTACTTTCCTTCCTTGCTCAGAGCTGGGCTCCATTCTCTCCACAAATCAGACGCTTAAGATTTGTGAATGTAAGACTGATTGAGTGAATGAACTATTAAGACAACCCTATGCAAGCTGCAGGTAGGAGCTGTGGTGGGTTACCCAAAAAGCAATTATTCCCTCTTAGTTCTGCCACCCCTCTTGAGGGCCCTTTCCCACCTTGCCCCAATGTCTGCCCTCACCATCCTCCCCTCGCCCTCCTCAGCTCCTCACATTATAAGCGTCCATGATGAGCTGTACCACATTGCTGGAGTTCTCACTCAGCTCCCCCACTGCGGACTTAGGGATCAGCTTACTCAGCTCCTGAATTATGAGGAGTTGAGGGAAAGGGTGGGTCACAACTCCAGAGAAATGGGCTTCAGGGGGTCTGGAAGGAGGGCATATGGGGGAGAGAAGAATGGGACTTTGAGAGACTTGAGGAAGGTTCAGGGTGGGAGGGGTCTCACCTGGTAGACAGGCAGTGTGGCACTGGTGACAGCAAAAATGGGCTGGATGTTTGCTGCAGAGAGAGCCTGGGCTACCTGACCCACAGAGGGGTAGTCCTGGAGCAGGGAACAGGGACAAGGTGAGCACCGCAGGTCCTCCAAACACTCCAGGTACCCTCAGCCCAGGAAATCCAGGAGCTGGGGTTTCACCAGCTACAGGAGCCCTGGGGCACTTGGCAAGGGAAGGATGGGGGGGAGTCTGAGCAGCGGGGGGGTGGAGCTGCTGGGGAAAACAGATGGGTGGTTACCAGCGAGGAGAATGAAGCTGGGGGGATGGGGGTCCTGGGAAGAGAGGAGGTGGGGCTCAGACAGGGAGGGACATGGGACTAAGATGAACTCACAAACTCTGGGCTGCGACTATAGAGGCCATTGCTGTCCAAGTGGCAATGCCCATCACTGGGCATGAAAATGCCACCCAACTTTCCATCCCCGGCTGTGTGGAACGTGTCATCTGAAGTGAACACCAGCAGCCGAGACACATTTCTCCAGCCAATCTGCTCCTAGGGTAGGGTGGGGGTAGGCTGTGCACCTGGGCATGGCCCGTGAGCCACCCCAGCCAGCAATGTGAGCCAAGGATTTGGCCAGCTTCATTCTGAGTCAGTTTGTGTACCCCTGC